TAGCTGACAGTCAGGACACAACTCTTAGTTGCCAGAGGCCCCTCGCATTCCTTGCCACATGGCCCCCACAGGCCACTCAGAACATGGATGCTCGCTGCTTCTTCCAGTCAGCCAGAGTGTGTTTCTCTGACTTCCTCCTCTGTTCTTTCTTCTTTTTCATAAATAAAAAATTTTTCATAAAAATTTCCATGTGTAGACATGGAAAGAACCCAAATCAAATGTCCACAGACTTATGAATGGATACACATTGTATGGTCTATCCCAGTGGTCGGCAAACTCATTAGTCAACAGAGCCAAATATCAACAGTACAACGATCGAAATTTCTTTTGAGAGCCAAAGTTTTTAAACTTAAACTATATAGGTAGGTACATTGTTATTAACTTAATTAGGGTACTCCTAAGCTGGCCTTTGCTAAAAATGTCCTCAATCTGATTGAGGTACGTTCGCTGAGGTCGACCCCTTCCAACTCTCCCATCCACACTCGTCTTGTATACTTGTTTCGTCTATCTCCTTTCCGAAAACCGACTTCTGCGCATGGGCCACGAAGTTTCAATCGCACTGTACGTGCGTGCCCGCACGTGGTATTTTGTGGAAGAGCCACATTCAAGGGGCCAAAGAGCCGCATGTGGCTCACGAGCCGCAGTTTGCCGACCACTGGTCTCTCCAAACGATGGATTATTACTCAGCTCTAAAAAGGAATGAAGCACTGACACATGCTACAACATGGAGGAACCTCGAAAACAATATGCTAAGTGAGAAACACCAGACACAAAAGGCCACACATTGTGTGAGCCTATTTATATGAAATGTCCAGAATAGGTAAATTCAGAGAGACAAAAAGTAGATCAGTGGTTGTCAGGGGCAACCTGGGGAAAGGAGAACAGGGAGTGACTGCTTAATGGTTATAGGGTTTCTTTCTGGGGGTGATGAAAACATCCCCAATGAGTGCAGAACACTGTCAATATACTAAAAACCTCTGAACTGTAGACTTTAAATGGTTACAATGGTGAATTTTATGTCATGCGAGTTTTATCTCAGAAAAAGAGTGTTCAGTAAGTGTCAGCTGTTAGCAGAAGGACTTAAGCACAAGATGACTGTCATCTGCGGCCAGGTTTGTGGGCACCTTTCACAGAAAGTCATAATTCATGACAGTGAAACAAATGGCACATGGAGATTTGCAAAGTTCCCAAGAGACATCTTGTAAAAACTGTTCCACACCCATGAAAGGCAATGTTATGTATAATTTAAAAGAATAAACTTTAAAAGGTAGAAATTTAAAAGGTAGAAATCAATGGCATGAATCTCCAAGATATAATTATTTGAAAAAATACTATGTAATTTTAATGTTTTAATATGTTTTTATTGATTTTAGAGAGAGAGGAAGGGAGAGGGAGAGAAACATCAATGAGAGAGAGTCATTGATCAGCTGCCTACTGCACACCCCTCACTGGAGATTGAGTCCCCAACCTGGGCACGTGCCCTGACGGGAAATCCAACCATGACCTCCTGGTTCACACTCCACCACTGAGCCACACCGGCGGGGCTCTCTCTCTCTCTCAACCTCTCTGTCTCTAAAACAAAGAAAAAAATCAATAAAAACATATTTAAAAAACAAAGCATACTATGGAGAGCAGCCAGACCCAAAAGTATATACTGTCTGATTCCATTTACATAAAATTCAAAACCAGGCAAAACAAATCGATGCTGTTAAAAATCAAGATTATGGTTACCCTTGGGGGTGGGGGGCAGTGACAAGAAGGAACACAAGAAGGTCTGGGGGGCGGCATGTCCTGTTACTTGATCTGAGTGTGGAGCAGATGACAGTTACAGTCTGTGAGGATTCACAGAACCGTGTGCTTTGCTGTACACATGTTACACATCAAAAGAAGGTGAAAACCAATTTAAAACCAAGTGATTCGTAACCACTGAGCCCTGGCTAGTGTGGTTCAGTTGGCTGGAGTGTCATCCAGTACACCAAAAGGTTGTGGGTTCGATTCCTGGTCAGGGAACATACCCAGGTTGCAGGATCAATCGCCAATCAGAGTGCATCTAGGAGGCAATTGATCAATGTTTCTCTCTCCCACGCTTCCTCTCTCTCTAAAAATGTCCTTGGGTGAGGATTAAAAAATAAAAAGAAAGAAAACCACTGAAAAACAAAAAAGAAACGTGTGCCACCTCGCTGTTGAACATTTCTCCTAAGCAACCCACCTCCAGGGGGGCACTGAAGCTACACCTGGGCTGTGTGCCAGCCATCCCCTCTGGCCAGGAGAAGTAGCAAACAGATGGAAACTCCCCTCCTGAGAGCAAGCGGTGGCTTGGCCACAGAGATTCTATGGCCATGGCAAACAAAAAAGGTACGTGGGCTATCAACAGCACAGGGCTAAACCCCATGTGGTAATATCCAGGTGTAGCATAATATTGTTGGGAAGGAAAAAAACACAGATTAGTCTATGTGTCCTGATGTCCAGAAGTTTTACCCTCATCACTTGCTTGAAAAGAACCAAAATTAGCATTCACTGAATATGGAGTCACCCTGCATATTGGCAGCTGCCAAAAGCAATCAGAGTTTCCAAAGGATCTCTGACATGAGCTAAGTTAACCACTGCAATGCCGCTTGCTCAGAGACTTGCCCCCTGCAGTTCATTCTCAACACAGAAATCAGAATTCTGTGAGAACCCAAGGCAGATTCTATTTCTTCTCTGCTCAGAGCCTTTCAGTGGCTCCCCTCTCAACCAGAGTAAAAGCTTAAGGACTTACAATGGCTTTCAGGCCTTGAGTGTCATGGGGCCCTCCCCCCCACCCTCTTAGCTCATCTCCAACTTCTCTCCCCCTGGCTAACTCTACTCCACCCCCATAGGCCTCCCAGCTGTTCCTCTCAGGCCAGCATCAGCCCACCTAGGAGCCCAGAAATCTGCATAGCTCACAACATAGCTCACTCTGCTTAAATGTCACCTCAGGGAGGCCTTGCCTAACTCCCTATTTAAATAAAATCCTCTTGCCTGGCCGGTGTTGCTCAGTGGTAGAGTGTTGACCCATACATTGGGTGTCACGGTTCGATTCCCGGTCAGGACACATGCCCAGGTTGCTGGTTGCGGGCTCCATCCCCAGTGGGGGGCGTGCAGGAGGCAGCCTATCAATGATTCTCTTTCATCATTTATGTTTTTATCTCTCCCTCTCCCTTCCTCTCTCTGAACTTAATAAAAATATATTTAAGCCCGACCAGCGTGTTTCAGTGATTGAGCATTGACCTATGAACCAGGAGGTCATGGTTCGATTCCCAGTCAGGGCAAATGCCCAGGTCACGGACTCGATCCCCAGTGGGTGTGCAGGAGGCAGCCAATCAATGATTCTCTCTCATCATTGATGTTTCTCTCTCTCTCCTTCTCCCTTCCCCTCTGAAATCAATATAAATATAAATGTAAATATTTTTAATAAATAAATACCTCTTGCCACTGCCTCCTACCCCAGCTGAGACATTCCCCATTCCTCTTAACTGTTTGTTTTTCTTCCACAGCACTCGTCAGGTGACTTACGTTTTACTTTTGACTTTCCCCACAAACATGAAAGCTTCACAGGACTGACATATCTATGTCTGATGCTGTCCACTGCTATATGGCCCCAATATCTAAAACAGTTTGGCCTATAGAAGGTGCTTTATAATTAACTAGAGGCCCAGTGCACAAATTCGTGCACAGATGGGGTCCCTTGGCCTGGCGGGCAATCGGGGCCAATTTGGGCCCGTCAGCCGGGGGGAGGGACCGCTGGAGGTTGGCTGTGGGAACACACTGACCACCAGGGGGAAGCTCCTGCATTGAGCGTCTGCCCCCTGGTGGTCAGTGCGTGCCATAGCAACTGGTCGACCGGTCGTTTGGTCGCTTAGGCTTTTATATAGAGAGATTATTCAATGAATGAATGAACAACTGAATCCACCCACTCTTGAATCTATAGGTCCTGTCCCTGTACTGACAACTTCCACACCTGTCTCAGCTCCAGGTCCGATCTGCCAGCTGGATGACACCCCTCAGAAATCCCAAAGTCGTATCAAACCCGGACATGCTACGTGGACACATCACCTTCTCAGGCTGTCCCTCTCTGGTTTCCCATTTCAGTGACAGCAGCACTGTCTCCCTCAGTCTCCCGGGTCAGAGAACCCTGTGCCTCGCTCCGGCCCCTGGGACTCCCTCACCCCCATGTCCTGTCTCCTCTGCTTTCAGTCTCTCTGCTCCCACTGCAACTGAGGTACAGATTGGGGTGATTCTCCTGGGGTCACAGGAAATTTCCCTGGGATCATGAGAGAGCCCAGCAGAATCATCACTCAGTTATAAAAACAGGAATCCCTCCCTTTACACAAACACCTACCTGTTGACAGGGCACCTCTGCAGACGTTACGTCACCAAATTATCACAACAACCCTGGGCCTGAATCTCATCATTCCCAAAAGACAGATAAGAAAACAAGTGCAGAGAAACTGAAGCACAGAGAGGGGAGACGTGAAGCGGCCAGTCCGAACTACTATTTCTGCAATGTTGTTGTTAAACTTCACCATGGGATATGTTTGCCATTGATTTTTAGAGAGTGGAAGGGAGGGAGAAAGAGGGGAGGAGAGAGAGAGAGAGAGAGAGAGAGAGATATCAGTGTGCGAGAGACATGCTGCCATTGTCCAGGAAAGGAAGCTGAGGCCCAGGGGAAACCCTCAACCTGCTGCCAGCGGACTCCGGAGCAGGGTCTGGACCCGGGTCCAGGCTCCCTTTAGGTCCCACAGCGGTTCTCAGCCTGTGGGTCCCGACCCCTTTGGCGGTCGAACGACCCTTTCACAGGGGTCACCTAAGACCATCCTGCATATCAGATATTTACATTACGATTCATAACAGTAGCAACATACAGTGATGAAGTAGCAACGAAATTAATTTTATGGTTGGGTCACAACATGAGAACTGTATGTACAGGGCCAGAAGGTTGAGAACCACTGCTCTAGGAGATGGGGTGGGGGCAGGGTCACCTGGAGCACCACCGAGATGGTCTTCTCGCCCGCCTTGGCTGCGCGCCACTTCCGGTAGGTGTCCGCCTTGAGGAGGTTGTCTGCACAGTGGGTCTGGGCATGGACATAAGAATGGGAGAGGGGATGTGAGGGCACCGAGATGAAAGCTGGGTCCCCCACTTCCAGACTACTCCTCCGAGCCCTCCCAAGCCCTCTGCGATCCCCCAGATTTAAGTGTCCCCGTTAATTCCCCCCGCCTCTGCCTTGAGCCCCCAACAACACTTCGCCCGGGAAGTTCACCCATGAGCTCTCCTAGTCCTCCTTCCTTCCGGAACTTCCACGGACGCCCGGAAGCTCCCCCAGTCCAAATCCCTCTCAGAACCCCCTGATAACCAACCTCCTGGAAATGCCCCCCCGACCCTCCTCACACTCCCCTGAAGGTCCCTTCTACACTCCAGACGTTCTCACGGAGCCAGCGCCCTCAGAATTCCTTCACGTCTCCCAACTCCCTCACCCTAGTCCCTCACCGAGTCTTGGCTACTGCAGGACACCACATGGCGGAGGCGGATCTCCGGCATGTCAGCGTCGTGGGCTTCGCCGGGACCTGAAGGACGCAGGAGGGTCCGAGTTTCGGGGGGCGAGGAGGGGGTGCGCCCTGCGCGCGCTGAAGTGCGCACGCGCGCGAGGCTCGGGCCTTTCAAACCGCGGCGCGCCGGCGCACGCGTCAACCCGGCGCCAGCCAGCGCAGTCCCGCCTCTCGGGAGAGTGGCTCTGAGTTCCCTAGCAACGAGCTTCTCCTCTAGCCCCGCCTCCCCCTGGCCGTATCACTCTTTAGCCCCTCCTCCCGGTGACGGTCACATCCCGTTTTTTCCGGGCGCCTAGCAACAGGAGCGGCCTCCGGGATTGGTCCCTAGAAGAGATTCCCCATTCTCATTGGACAACGTAGTCGCCGCCCAAACTGAAGCCTAGAAAGCTAGAGGACCGCAAAGCTGAGCGCATTTTTGCAGAGAGCCTGGAGCAGTGATGGCGAGCCTATGACACGGGTGTCAGAGGTGACACGCGAACTCATTTTTTTGGTTGATTTTTCTTTGTTAAATGGCATTTAAATATATAAAATAAATATCAAAAATATAAATCTTTGTTTTACTATGGTTGCAAATATCAAAAATTTTCTATATGTGACACGGCACCAGAGTTAAGTTAGGGTTTTTCAAAATGCTGACACGCCGAGCTCAAAAGGTTCGCCATCACTGGAGCGTACTGCAACAGGATCCTCCACCGGTCCTGCAGCTGCACTCTTCCCCCGCTAGCTTCCCACCACACACACAGGGAAAAAAAAATCTCAGCTCTCAGAGTTATGCCTGAGGCCAGGAGAGAGTGCGTCAAGAACCTAAATAAAACACAAACCAGACACACACACCCAGCCTAGAGTGCTTCCACCCATGCCTCAGTTTCCCAATGTGACCTGTGGGCATCTGTCTCCTGCCACGCCCGTCCACCCCTGCCGGTTGACAGGCACCCCTTCTGTTCGGGTCCTCGCCAGACCCAGAGAGACAGCCCCAGGTGGGTAGGAGCTGGAGACAGTCCGAACAAAGAACAGGGAGTATGAGCCAAGCCCATGCAGAAGGGAAGGAGACAAGGCTCCTGGGCCCCCGCAGAACGAGCCCGGACAGGCTGGGCGCTCCCAGGTGGGGCCCCACCCACGCAGGGTGCCTCCTTGAGATGAGAGAGAAGAGAGAGGGTTCTCAGACCTTGTAGCTGCCCTACACCTACAGGAAATCAAGTGACATGGATTTTGACCTTGGGCTTCAGGCCAGAAAAAGAAGGGGGGGGGTGTGAGAAAACAGGAAAGTGCCCCTCTGTGTCCTGATAGAAGGGGCTGGAAGCCCAGACTCCTGGGGTCCCTGTGGAGGAGGGGGCTGGGCACAAGACACCCATGTTCCTTTTGGATTCTGGTGGCACCTCCCCAACCCAGAGCCGCAGAGACCTGCCCTGCGATCTTACCTCAGCTCCTTCTCTCCCCGGGGTGAAGGTGGGTCCAGACCCGCCCCTCCTCGGCTTCCTATAAGTACTGGGAACCTGGGGCTGCTGGGTCACACACCATGAGGCCTTCCGTGACACCGAGCGCCTTCCTGCTGGCCTTCACGCTGCTGGGCACCCTGCTGGGTCTCGGTAAGTGACCAGAGGCTCGGCCTCCTGGCAACCTCCTCGGGAAAGGGAGGACCAGGAGAGAGCAGCCAGCAAGGTCTCTCCGAGGGAAAGAGCAGGCGTCCTGGGAATTCAGGTTCATGTTGAAGGCAGAAGCTAAGGGAAGAGAAAGACTGGGGCCCGAGAGAGGAAAAGCTCAAAGGCTCTTGGATTGGATCTCTGAGAGAGGAGGGGGCGTGGTGGCTCTGGGTCCTCCGTCCCCCAGGAGGGGGGGTCTCAAAATAAGACATTTAAACTCTAGAAAATCAGATAAGAGCATGATTAAGAAGGGAAAAAAATTTTTATAATTTTTTAAATATATATATAATTTTATTTCAGAGAGGAAGGGAGAGGGAGAGAGAGATAGAAAAACATCAATGGAGAGAGAGAATCATTGACCAGCTGCCTCCTGCACACCCCGCACTGGGGATGGAGCCTGCAACCCGGGCATGTGCTCTTGGCTGGAATCGAACCCGGGACCCTCCAGTCCGCAGGCCGAAGCTCTATCTGCTGAGCCAAACCGGCCTGGGCAAGAAGGGAAATTTTAAAAAACTGGGGGGAGAGGGAGAGATTACCTTTTTTCCTGGACTCTAGGGAGATCAA